GTAAAGTTTGTAACTTTACATGCTAGATCGATCTTATAAGCCCAGATCTATCTTTTGGACAAGTGTTGTACATTAGAAATCGAGAAATGAGATTTGAACAACCTCGACTCGACGAGTTGTTCTTGGGACTCGGCGAGTCCGAGGCTTGACTCCCCTTTTCTGTTAGGGTTCAAACTCATTTGAGTGTTAGAAGGGTTTTAGAGGGTCCAAGGGAGTGACCCAACGTATTGGACTTAGCCATAGACCTGGAGTTCATAGGACTCGACGAGTGCATAAGTAGACTCGGCGAGTCCAATGCAATCTCCCAACTTTTGAAGATGAACTCGGCGAGTTGTTCATACAACTCGGCGAGTCAAGGACATGTCTGTTTGAAGGACGAAGATAAACTTGACGAGTTATTCATACAACTCGGCGAGTCGGATGAAGGTTCATTTGAGGTTGTTTTAGAAGGAGAACTCATCGAGTCATTGCTAAACTCGACGAGTAGAAGCATGAAGAAGAGCAGATGAAGGGTAGGGACTCGACGAGTTGGAGGCCCAACTCGGCGAGTCATGTCAACTGGAAGTTGACTTTGACTTTAACTTTGATTTGGACTTGGTTAGGGGTAAAATGGTCATTTTACCCTAAGAACAGTTATCAGTGTCTGACTAAGTGTTTTATGGGAATTATAGCCGGAGGATCACCGGAGTAGCGGTCGGACATCTATCGATTAGCTTTTCAGCAGTCAGCCTTACGAGGTTAGTTACCTTCCAGTAGGGGTGGGTCTACGGCACCAATGTCGGCCCACCAGTAGGAGAATATGGGTGAGATGATTATCTTTGTGATAATTTTCTGGTTTCTATATCTGTGTTGAGTATGTGTTAGTAGTAGTAGGGCACGCTAGCCCCTGGTTACCGGTTGAAAGATATCGAAGACGATTACCGGTTAAAAGATATCGTAGGGGTGGATAAACCCACGCACGTATAGTTGCATGCTTATGATATGCCATTATGTGACTCAGTATGCCTATGTATGATATCATGAAACCAATATGTTATGACATGTAATATGTGATAGGGGTAGAGGTGAAATAGTCCCTAGATACCGGTTGAAAGATACCGAATGGGAGGTTAGTTCCCGGATACCGGTTGAAAGATACCGAAGGGGAGAGTAGCTCCCGGTTACCGGTTGAAAGATACCGAAGGGGAGGGTAGCTCCCGGTTACCAGTTGAAAGATATCGATGACTATGTGCTATGGGTATGGTGGGGGAGCTCACTAAGCTTCGTGCTTACAGTTTTAGTTTTGGTTTCAGGTACCTCTTCGTCTAAGGGGAAGGAGCCAGCGGTGTAGCAGTGCATTACACACACATGTTTTCCGCATGGAGTTTCCTGGGAGTCTACTCTAAAGTATTTTACTTTTGGACAAAATGGTTTTTATGGTGATATGTTTTGGATTATTGACATATTGATTGTGACATGAGATATCATTATGAACGTTTTTATATCGATGGTTTTTATGTTATAATCTATTTAAAAACGAAATTTTTGGCCTTGAATTTTGGGATGTTACAACCACAACTCAACGTCGTCTCCACCACCTTCGTCATTGGAGTTTAGATCTACATTAAGAACTTCGACGACGCTGTAAGTGGTTAGGATTTCTGGTGGTGATCTGACGAACGAAAGAAGGGTGGTGCCAGCAGACGGTGGTAATGGTTGTTTATATTTTTCTAACAGAGTTCTGATGAAGGTTTGGTGTATAGATCTATGTCGTTGGTGGTGGTTTGGATGGTCCAACAAAAAGAGGCATCTCGGGTGAATAGTGTGATATGACAAGCTGAGGTGGTTCGGTAGATGGCGATGGTCCGAAAAAGGTGGTGGTCCAACAGCTAGTGGTGGTGGTCCGACAATAATAAAGAGGGAGAGAAAGGATATGTATCTAATGTAATTAAGAGTGATAATGGGTGGTGAGTTAGTAGGAGGTGGGGGGTATATACTTATTTTTTTTCTTTTAATAGAAAGGTATTAAGTAAATAAAAAATAAAAAATACCAAGGGCAAATTTGGCATTTTAAAAAATTTATAACAAATTGGACCAAACTTGCAAAAAAAATGAAAGTTTTGGACCACTGGTGCCAGTCCAAACTTTTTTGGACCAAAGTGACAATTTTCAATATACCATATGAACCATTTGTGCAGTTTAGTCTTTAAAAAACAACTAATAAATAAATAAATATCCACACCTACCCACCCTTCCTCTTCCCCTTCCCTTGATTCCTTCAACCTTCTACTCTTTTCTTCACATACTACAACATAGCGCTATGGATGAATAATTTGTAGAAAATCCTGATCTCGTACCAGAATTGTACCGGAACCAATACCGAACCATACCGAATTTATAATATGGGACGATACTCGGTACTCCAAAATCACGAAATTCAGGATTTGGTACCAGTACTAGTACCGAAAACCGGTACCTGTACCGATAATGTTAATTCGATTTGATACTCGGGATTGACATTCGATCAAATTCGATTTTCGGAAAATCGAGAACGATACAAGTTCCATCACACGCCCATTCCTACCCGGTGCTGCCACCTGCCTCCATGATGCTAGCGAAACCCCCAATTAGTATACGATAAGGAGACCCGGTACTAATTTGAGAAGACAATATTAAAAATTACAAGTTAGAGATTATAGTAACAATGATTTTGGTGTAAAGAGTTAATATAGAACTAAGAGTGTTTAAAATATGGAGCTTGGTAACTTGGTATTGTTAAAAGGAAAAGTCAACACTAGAAATTTCGATGACGAAATTATTCTAAGTAAGGGAGAACCATAACACCCTATTTTCCTTCTAATTATTTTAAACAAACACACACACATATATATATATATATATATATATATATATATATATATATATATATATATATATATATATATATATATATATATATTATATGTTAATTGTAAGAGGGTATGGTCCATGGGCCAAACTATACATACTATACAAAAGGCTACACCTATACATAAATAAAACATCAATGATATACAATTTCTCAAGTTGAACAGAACATAATTTCACGAAAAAAAGTTTCTAAAAATTATTAAATTTTCGTTAAATATTGAAATAAAATCTAAAAATCTTTCACATGAATAAAACACCAATAATATATTTGGGGAATGAATCATGGTTTCGATGTTAATAATTAAACATGGTTTTGTCAAGCAACTTTTATATTAGAAAATTCGATATTGATTGTATATCTGTTTCTTTTTATATGAAAAATATTGTTTAGAAACCACCTCGACAAAGTGGTGTTTTAAGATATACCAATTGTTGATTAAGACTATAAATTGTTATCTCAAATTTATAAGTTATAACTAGTTTTTATTATCAAGGTTGTAAAACTCATTACTCGATACCTGTTTGACCGACTACCGAGTAGCGAGTAATCGGGACTCCAGAGTACTCGGAGAGTACTTGGATTTGGTAATTCATGTAGAATTATTTTTAAGGAAATTATATATATCAAAATCATAAGTTAAAATCATAAATTGATTGACATATATAACAAAATTAGATACATGTAAATATACAAAAACTAAAAAAAACACATGATGGTCTCATTTAGTGAAATTACTAAAAATTTAAGATATATTAGTCACCGAGTTGACCGAGTTTTACAACAATGCTCACTTCAGTAAAGGGATGATCGGGAAGTACTCGAGATTTTGTAACTCGTCTCGGTAAGAGGTCGACTAACGAGTACTCAGAGGAGTAATCGGTCAACTCGACGAGTTTGACAACACTGCTTATTACTATTTAAATTTCTTGTTTTTTTTTTTTTTTCTAAAATTAGGTATCATCAATATTATGATACTAGGTGTCAGACCCGTTGTATTACACAGGTTTGTTAAAAAGACCAAATATGATAAAAAAAAACAAAGACCATTCACATAAGTTTTGGTACCCACAAAGATCATGTTCATAAAAAAAAGCAATGATTGAGTTTATAATCTTTGGTAAACCACATGGACCATTTATGTAATTTGGTCTTAAAAAATCTATACTAATAAAATTAATTAATATGAATTCACATGTATTATATACATTAATATACACATATTAATTAATATTTTAATAGAAAAAAAGAATTCACAAATAGAAAGTTTTATGTTCATTATTAATCTATTAATAAAATTAATTAATATGAGGTGACATTTAATAGATATAATTTGAATAAAAAAAAACTATAAAAATAACAAGTGGATATTAAATGATTTTAAAAAATCTAGAAAATGATAAATATCAAAATGAAGAAGGAGAAGATGACAAATGATAAAAAAATTCTTTATTTATTAAAGATAATTTAAATCATATGGTTGGTTATCAGTTTATTTCATGGTTAGATGATATTATATAGTTTTTCCGATAATATATTATCAATTATCGGAAAAACTATATATTATCATCTGGTCATGTTAATCTCTTAAACTTAATTGATAATGATTACACCATCAAAAATAATATGGAAGATAACAGAATAATTAAACTCAATTGACTATCATAATGTTACCTCCAAAATAATTACACTATTCATTGTTTTAAACATCTTTATTATACAAAGTTATTGTAAAAAAAAGAAAAATAGATTACATGTGCACTTGTCTATTATTTCGACACCAAACGTGAGAAAGATGGAAGAATTTTATATGTTTAATACGAAGCATGTGCTCACAAAATAATGGCTTTTTTTTAATTTATGCAACATTTAATATTGTGCCGTTACATCAAAAAATGAATATATAACAGTCACTAATTATACTCCTTTCTTCCCTATATATAAACAACCAACACCACCAAATATTATACAAAACCCATTTCGATTTTAATACTTTCCACCTCGATTTCATTCGAATGAATATTCTCGACAATCTTTCAGCTGCAATATTTTGATAATTTTCAAACTCTCACATGTTCATGAATTTTGATACCAATTGATTTATTTGGAAAACATGAAAGAATCATCCATGAAAACCAATCAGGAATTCTTGAAGAAGTTGGAAACTTCATGTTTTAACGACGAACTCGACTGGTCACTTACCCTTGAAGATCTCGACCTGAGTTTTACTCATGATATTATTACCGACGTTACTTCTCCCATGATCACCATATCTTCCGATGATCAAAACATTGCTTCAAAAGTATTTCCGATTACAAACATCGAGGCAGTATTACCACAACACCAATCAGCAAATTTTCCGGCCATGGGTACGTCTCTTCCCGCTGTTATGGACTTCACAGACGTGGCTCTAAACTGGGATTTTACGACAGGGCGGAAGGTGGTCTCCGGTGGAGAGGTTCACCAAGTTTTGCCGCTAGTTAATGAAGATTTTACTCCATCACTGCCGCAGAGGAAGTATAGAGGCGTTAGGAGACGGCCGTGGGGGAAGTTCTCGGCGGAGATGAGAAACCCAGAGAAGAAAGGGAGGAGGCTGTGGCTGGGGACGTATGATACGGCGGAGGAAGCTGCCATGGCGTATGATCGAGCAGCTTTTAAGTATCGTGGATGTCAAGCTGTGCTTAACTTCCCGCATTTGATTGGGTCCCACAATGTAAGCCCTGAGAAATATACCATCGAAAGACGGTTGCTGAAGTCCGGGTGTTCATCGTCGTCACCCTCGCCTGAATCACCTAGAAATAACAACCGGAAGAGGAAAAGCACTGCTGATTGATATGTTTTTCTCTGAAAACAAGGGCTGCTTGTATTTTATCATTTTATGTAAATATTTACCAAAATATGGTAGTTTAAAAGGGGAAATTCATCAAATGACAAATGAGGTGTGGTTGAAGAAAATGACCTAGAAAACTTTCAATAAATGGTCATGATTTCCTTTAGAGAGGGTCTGGACAGAACTCATTCAGTTCTGAATAATTAGAAAAGATATGAGAAAATGATGTGACAGTTGTGTTTGAACATACAAAAATAATATATATATATATATATATATATATATATATATATATATATGTTTGAAAACGAAAAAAATTATCAAAATCATTTTTTTGTCATGGTTATGTAAAGAAATACCGAAAAAGATCCCTATGAGGAATTGTTATTCAAACACATGTCAATAAGGAATTGTTTTTTGCATTACAATGGCCAAAAAACGATTTTAAAAAATATTTTCTTGTTAATTTAACAATGTTTCACCGTTTCGCACATACCATTAAATCAATATAACAAATTAAACTATAAAACTATGTTTCTAAAACAATTTTTTCGTAGCATCCTTTCAAATTTGTTAAGTTTTTTTTTTTGTGTGTGGTTTTACGAATTTACCCCGGACATGTCATTTCCTCAGAGGTTTTCCAATTCCTCTAACACTAAAAAAAAGTCCATTTTAGTGACCAAGTTTTTAGTGACAATCTGAAATCTGATCACTAACTGCATCCTTTAGTCACCATATAGAAAATCGTCACTGAATTTTGGTAGCGGTACAAATTCAATGACCAACTTTCAATAGTTGTCACTAAGAAATCACTATTCCTTGTTTTTCAAACCCACACACTGGCGACATAATAGTGGCCACTAAGTTTACAACATGTAAATTATTTAGTGACCAAAAATCTAAGTCACTGTAAACGTCTTTAACTTATATATAAATATTCCATTTAATAAAATCCAAAACTTATCCATATTATTAGTTGTTGTAAACGTCTTTAACTTACATATATAATTTGGTAAACATCTTTAACTTACATATAAATATTCCATTTAATAAAATCCAAAACTTATCCATATTATTGGTTGTTAAAAATAAACCGATGAATATTGTTTAAACAAGTAATTATGTTTTTCGTTTTAATTTTTATATATAAATTGATTATATTAGTTTAAGTCAAATTTTTAATCTTTTTTAAAAGAAAAGATTATATATAAAAAAATTCAACAGTATGAAATTTGTATGTGTATTTAATGGAATTATATAATTGTTAAATGGTACATACACCCCTAAATTGACGTTAAGTTACGCAACAATAGTTCTCGTCAACGTTGACATATACAACCCTCAATCGACGAATACGCAACTCTATTCGGCAGTTCAACACTTCTCTCTCCGGTTCACGGTGCACTCCACACCCTCCTGTCGATGCACCTAGGTATGTCTCCGGGCTCACCCCCCCCTCTTTCTTTCTATCTATCTACTCTTGCTCTGTTGTTTAAAGTGTGAAAGGTTATTGTCGATTGCTTTATATGGATTGCTTGATTAATTAAGTTAGTGATTTCAAACTTATGAAAATACATTTTCGTTCTACTGTTATTTCAAATTATGATTCTTCTTCCAATATTCAAGTTAGTAGGCTTTTCTATAAGATACTTTTTTTGTGTAAACGATGCACGCAAGATGTTCGATGAAAATCCCCACACAAAATTCATTATCATAATATTCGATATGTTTGACTCAGGGGCTTTGGAATAACAAAGCTAGTCCTATCATGGGTGATTACATTGTACACACTAAGGCAAAATGGTAGAAATGCAGGAAATGCTTTCAGGAAAAAATATATGATTGGTTCCATGAGCTAAGCCAACATACATTTGGTAAAAACTTATTGTTTTCCTTTTCCTTTGTGATAAAATGTATGGTGTATTCTTTTTTTACTATTTTCCTTTATTTTCCACACAATTCCTATTTTCTTTCAAATTTATCAAGTTATATTTTATGAAACCTAATGCATTCCTTTTTCTTACAGGTGATTCTGAACCTACAAAGATGTTTAACAGAATAGCTAATCTATCAAACAATCAGATAATCAACTACAAATGTGATCCATTTGAGAAATGGTTGGTGTTAATATGGAATTACCCCTAGCTCAACAGACGTTTCTATTTGACTATTTCATAGTATAACATGTTAGCATATAACACCACCTATGGTAAATTCCTGCGTTTTAATAATAGCCTCATACCATTCTGATTTAAGTAACTTTTTCAGTTGATCAGTAGCGAAGTCAAGCTCTTGAAGCACATGCAGCATATTTGCTCTTTCAAAGTACAAAAGATAAGTTAAAATGTGTTCTTTTTTTTTTCCTACATCAAAGTACATTGGTAACAATAACATATTTATATGTCTTCAATAGGTTACTGGCAATGAGAATCCTTTGATTCTTATTTCTTTTGCAACAAAAGCTCTAATCCTGGACTAATTACTTCAAAGTTTCATGTCACTGAACCATGTTTATTCTCTTAACATATTGTTTTCATTTTCATTAATTTGAGGTTTCTTATTTAGAAAAGCTAATGCTTCTTGTTTCTATACATGAAGGAAAACCCGCATTCACTTAAAGCAAGAAGATTTGTTCTTTCCTCCCTACTTTCAAGATGATTTTCCAGTTGCCATGTAGGTAATTTTTTACTCATTTTGTGTTTTGAAATAGGGAGTTGCATACTTGCATCATCAACTAACATATTAATTTTTTATTTAGCACTTGTTATTTCAGTGGGAAAACTCACTAGAGACCTACTAAGAAAGTTGCGATCTTTTGGCCCACAAGAATCTTATTTACACTTAACAGAGGATACTCCTTCCTATCTGTCTTGGTTGACTTTTAATTGTCATCTCATCATGAGACTACTTTTTTGATTAGTTTGAGCATTACATCAATCCTATGGTGCACATGCAAACCTAAAGCTTTGGATCTAGGTTTTCTTTAACTGTACATGCAATAATAATTATCCAAAGCCATAACCCTATACTAGCATGCTATTTTCAAAATTAATACCTAATACAAAGTTAGATGATTACCTTTCTTGTAGCTTGCTTGATCTTTAACCTTTGAGAACTTAGCACCTCAAATGTGATGTATTTAATAGATCACAAACAACAAGAGCAAGTTGGAGGAATATGAGAAAGATGATAGGGATCACAAAACTCAGTTGGTACTCTTCTTAGGGTTCAAGTGTCGATTTTAGGAGTCCCCTGGGGTCTTTATATAGCTGAGCTACTAGGGTTTCAGTCAAAACCCTAATCTGATTGCTTAAGCCCTAAGCAGTCCACATGATCCTTCCAGAATGCCCCTATGGACGATTTCTATGTGGGATTCCACATAAATTTCATCCATCTCCTTCTATTAGGAGTCCATAGCCCATATTTTAATTATCTTATAATTACAATATCCGTTCGTTAATTTAATTAATCTCTTTTGATCACTAAATTAATTCCAAATTAATTCTTGACAAATATTAATTAAATAATATGATTTCTCAATTAATTATTATTTCTTATAATATAT